AGGAGTCTCGGTAGGGTCGAGGTCCAAAGGAGTCTCGGTGGGGTCGAGGTCTAAAGGAGTCTCGGTAGGGTTCAGGTCCAAAGGCGTCTCGGTAGGGTTCAGGTCCAGAGGCGTCTAGTAGGGTCCAGGTCCAGAGGCGTCTAGTAGGGTCCAGGTCCAGAGGCGTCTCGGTAGGGTCGAGGTCCAAAGGAGTCTCGGTGGGGTCGAGGTCCAAAGGAGTCTCGGTGGGGTCGAGGTCTAAAGGAGTCTTGGTAGGGTTCAGGTCCAAAGGCGTCTCGGTAGGGTTGAGGTCCAGAGGCGTCTAGTAGGGTCCAGGTCCAGAGGCGTCTCGGAAGGGTTCAGGTCCAGAGGTGTCTCGGAAGGGTCCAGGTCCAGAGGCGCCTCGGTAGGGTCGAGCTCCCAAGGTATTTAGAAGGGTTGAGGTTAGGGGTCTGTGTTGGACGCTCGAGATCCTCCGCACCAAACTGGTCATCCATGTCTTTATGGAGCTGGCTTGTACAGGGGGGGGGGGGGGGGGGGGGGGGGGGGGGGGGGGGGGGAGGGGGACAGTCATGGGGGACAGAAAAAGGTCTCCAAACTGTGACCACAAGGCTGGAAGAGCCCAATTGTCTCCAATGACTGTATGATGGAGGATCACCGGGACCCCTCACTGGGGACACCAACTCCATACTCTCTACACAACCATATCTGTCCCAGATACTCCAACAGTGGGACCTCTCGGCCACAATTCCCATCTCTGTTCCCGTTCACCTGTCTGCTCTGGCTTCTGTTGTATTCTCTGTAAGAGCACAGCGGGGGTTCAGACCTGGGAACTCGGCACAGGGATGGTGGGAACCCCTCATAATGGACACAGCGGGGGTACAGACCTGGGAACTCGGCACAGGGATGGTGGGAACCCCTCATAATGGGCACAGCGGGGGTACAGACCCGGGAACTCAGCACAGGGATGGTGGGAACCCCTCGTAATGGGCACAGCAGACGTACAGACCCGGGAACTCAGCACAGGGATGGTGGGAACCCCTCATAATGTGCACAGCGGGGGTACAGACCCAGGAACTCAGCACAGGGATGGTGGGAACCCCTCGTAATGGGCACAGCAGACGTACAGACCCGGGAACTCAGCACAGGGATGGTGGGAACCCCTCGTAATGGGCACAGCAGACGTACAGACCCGGGAACTCAGCACAGGGATGGTGGGAACCCCTCATAATGGGCACAGGGGGGGTACAGACCCAGGAACTCAGCACAGGGATGGTGGGAACCCCATAATGGGCACAGCGGGGGTACAGACCCGGGAACTCAGCACAGGGATGGTGGGAACCCCTCATAATGGGCACAGCGGGGATACAGACCCAGGAACTCAGCACAGGGATGGTGGGAACCCCTCATAATGGGCACAGGGGGCGTACAGACCCAGGAACTCAGCACAGGGATGGTGGGAACCCCTCATAATGGGCACAGCGGGGGTACAGACCCAGGAACTCAGCACAGGGATGGTGGGAACCCCTCATAATGGGCACATTCGTCTGATTAAAAGCTGCATGTAAAACAACCGAAATGTTTTCAGTGGAGGTTTCCATGCTGGTTCAGAAGTGATGATTTTTGTGTCTGGGGGTTGGTGCCCGGAGGGTCGGTGCCCGGGGGTCGGTGTCTGGGGGTCGGTGCCCGGAGGTCGGTGTCTGGGGGTCGGTGCCCGGAGGTCGGTGCCCGGGGGTCGGTGCCCGGGGGTCGGTGCCCGGGGGTCGGTGCCCGGGGGTCGGTTGTGTCTGGGGGTCGGTGCCCGGAGGTTGGTGCCCGGAGGTCGGTGTCTGGAGGTCGGTGCCCGGGGGTCGGTGTCTGGAGGTCGGTGCCTGGGGGTCGGTGGCCGGGGGTCGGTGCCCGGAGGTCGGTGTCTGGGGGTCGGTGCCCGGATGTCGGTGTCTGGGGGTCGGTCGGGTGACTGGGGGTCGGTGCCCGGGGGGGGGTCGGTGTCTGGAGGTCGGTGCCCGGGGGTCGGTGTCCGGGGGTCGGTGCCCGGAGGTCGGTGTCTGGGGGTCGGTGCCCGGGGGTCGGTGTCTGGAGGTCGGTGCCCGGAGGTCGGTGTCTGGAGGTCGGTGTCTGGAGGTCGGTGCCCGGGGGTCGGTGCCCGGGGGTCGGTGCCCGGGGGTCGGTGCCCGGAGGTCGGTGCCCGGGGGTCGGTGCCCGGGGGTCGGTGTCTGGGGGTTGGTGCCCGGGGGGGGTCGGTGTCCGGGGGTCGGTGTCTGGAGGTCGGTGCCCGGAGGTCGGTGCCCGGAGGTCGGTGCCCGGGAGGTCGGTGCCCGGGGGTCGGTGCCCGGGGGTCGGTGCCTGGGGGTCGGTGTCTGGGGGTTGGTGTCTGGGGGTCGGTGTCTGGAGGTCGGTGCCCGGGGGTCGGTGCCCGGGGGTCGGTGCCCGGGGGTCGGTGCCCGGGGGTCGGTGCCCGGGGGTCGGTGTCTGGAGGTCGGTGCCTGGGGGTCGGTGCCCGGGGGTCGGTGCCCGGATTGTGCAGATAAGTCAGCGCACAATGTCATTTCACCGACCCGGAGACCCGCGGCCTCTCTGCTGTCCAATCGGATTTCATGCAGGAAGTGAAGTCCCGGTTGGATGCGCGGAACGCTCGCTGCAAGTACACGGAAAGCAGAAGAGAGAACGCAGATTGTTCCGGAGCTCCAATTATTCCCCAGAAATCCAGATTACCGACATCGATCGCCAATGAGAACGTCACCCCAAATCACACATCCCGGCCGAGGAGAAATCACAACTCACCGCCATGCGGCCCCACAGGTGTCATATATATCAATTATTATTATTGTAGTATTTTAATTACTATTAGTAATTAATAATAATATTCATAATTAAAATTTATTTTTATCAATATTAATAAATAGTATAATAGGATGTGACTGTGGGGGAGGGGACATTAGAGCGTAAGCTCCTCTGGTACAGAGACTGATGGGACTGTGGGGGAGGGGGACATTAGAGTGTAAGCTCCTCTGGTACAGAGACTGATGGGACTGTGGGGGAGGGGACATTAGAGTGTCAGCTCCTCTGTACAGAGACTGATGGGACTGTGGGGGAGGGGACATTAGAGTGTAAGCTCCTCTGTACAGAGACTGATGGGACTGTGGGGGAGGGGACATTAGAGTGTAAGCTCCTCTGGTGCAGAGACTGATGGGACTGTGGGGGAGGGGACATTAGAGCGTAAGCCCCTCTGATACAGAGATTGATGTGACTGTGGGGGAGGGGACATTAGAGTGTCAGCTCCTCTGGTACAGAGACTGATGGGACTGTGGGGGAGGGGACATTAGAGCGTAAGCTCCTCTAATACAGAGACTGATGGGACTGCGGGGGAGGGGACATTAGAGTGTAAGCTCCTCTGTACAGAGACTGATGAGACTGTGGGGGAGGGGACATTAGAGTGTAAGCTCCTCTGGTACAGAGACTGATGGGACTGTGGGGGAGGGGACATTAGAGTGTAAGCTCCTCTGGTACAGAGACTGATGGGACTGTGGGGGAGGGGACATTAGAGTGTAAGCTCCTCTGTACAGAGACTGATGGGACTGTGGGGGAGGGGACATTAGAGTGTAAGCTCCTCTGTACAGAGACTGATGGGACTGTGGGGGAGGGGACATTAGAGCGTAAGCCCCTCTGATACAGAGATTGATGTGACTGTGGGGGAGGGGACATTAGAGCGTAAGCTCCTCTAATACAGAGACTGATGGGACTGCGGGGGAGGGGGACATTAGAGTGTAAGCTCCTCTGGTGCAGAGACTGATGTGACTGTGGGGGAGGGGACATTAGAGTGTAAGCTCCTCTGTACAGAGACTGATGAGACTGTGGGGGAGGGGACATTAGAGTGTAAGCTCCTCTGGTACAGAGACTGATGGGACTGTGGGGGAGGGGACATTAGAGTGTAAGCTCCTCTGGTACAGAGACTGATGGGACTGTGGGGGAGGGGACATTAGAGCGTAAGCTCCTCTGGTACAGAGACTGATGGGACTGTGGGGGAGGGGACATTAGAGTGTAAGCTCCTCTGTACAGAGACTGATGGGACTGTGGGGGAGGGGACATTAGAGCGTAAGCTCCTCTAATACAGAGACTGATGGGATTGCGGGGGAGGGGACATTAGAGTGTAAGCTCCTCTAATACAGAGACTGATGGGACTGCGGGGGGGAGGGGACATTAGAGTGTAAGCTCCTCTGGTACAGAGACTGATGGGACTGTGGGGGAGGGGACATTAGAGCGTAAGCTCCTCTGGTACAGAGACTGATGGGACTGTGGGGGGAGGGGACATTAGAGCGTAAGCTCCTCTGTACAGAGACTGATGGGACTGTGGGGGAGGGGACATTAGAGTGTAAGCTCCTCTAATACAGAGACTGATGGGATTGCGGGGGAGGGGACATTAGAGCGTAAGCTCCTCTGGTACAGAGACTGATGTGACTGTGGGGGAGGGGGACATTAGAGTGTAAGCTCCTCTGGTGCACAGACTGATGGGACTGTGGGGGAGGGGACATTAGAGCGTAAGCTCCTCTGTACAGAGACTGATGGGACTGTGGGGGAGGGGACATTAGAGTGTAAGCTCCTCTGGTGCACAGACTGATGGGACTGGCTCAGTGATCTCTGAATTTCATGCAGTAAATCAGCCATCGGGATGAGCGGCAGCTGCGATTTAATCCTCTCTGTTCTAATCTGAGAATCACGAGCAGCTCCGACATAAAAGGAATTTGGTGGCGGCTGAATCTGATGGAGATGAATCTCTGCTCTATGATGGTCCCGGCAAATCTTCCGCTCAACGGCATTTTGATTCTTTTCTTGGAATTATTACAACGCGTCTCGTCTGTGAATTGTTCCTGACAGATCATTACCACAGGAAACCTCATCCATATACATGGAGACTAGAGTCTGAACGGTGTAATCATTGAATTTTAGGCAGCCCCTCCTAAAACCAATTCATTGGGGGTCAGTGGGAAGAATGTCCCTTACATTGGGGGTCAGTGGGAAGAATGTCCCTTACATTGGGGGTCAGTGGGAAGAATGTCCCTTACATTGGGGGTCAGTGGGAAGAATGTCCCTTACATTGGGGGTCAGTGGGAAGAATGTCCCTTACATTGGGGGGGTCAGTGGGAAGAATGTCCCTTACATTGGTGGTCAGTGGGAAGAATGTCCCTTACATTGGGGGTCAGTGGGAAGAATGTCCCTTACATTGAGGGTCAGTGGGAAGAATGTCCCTTACATTGGGGGGTCAGTGGGAAGAATGTCCCTTACAATGGGGGGTCAGTGGGAAGAACGTCCCTTACATTGGGGGGGGGTCAGTGGGAAGAACGTCCCTTACATTGGGGGTCAGTGGGAAGAACGTCCCTTACATTGGGGATCAGTGGGAAGAATGTCCCTTACATTGAGGGTCAGTGGGAAGAATGTCCTTTACATTGGGGGTCAGTGGGAAGAATGTCCCTTACATTGGGGGTCAGTGGGAAGAATGTCCCTTACATTGAGGGTCAGTGGGAAGAATGTCCCTTACATTGGGGGTCAGTGGGAAGAACGTCCCTTACATTGGGGGGTCAGTGGGAAGAACGTCCCTTACATTGAGGGTCAGTGGGAAGAATGTCCCTTACATTGGGGGTCAGTGGGAAGAATGTCCCTTACATTGGGGGTCAGTGGGAAGAATGTCCCTTACATTGGTGATCAGTGGGAAGAATGTCCCTTACATTGGGGGGTCAGTGGGAAGAATGTCCCTTACATTGGGGGTCAGTGGGAAGAATGTCCCTTACATTGGGGGTCAGTGGGAAGAATGTCCCTTACATTGAGGGTCAGTGGGAAGAATGTCCCTTACATTGGGGGTCAGTGGGAAGAATGTCCCTTACATTGGGGGTCAGTGGGAAGAATGTCCCTTACATTGGGGGTCAGTGGGAAGAATGTCCCTTACATTGGTGATCAGTGGGAAGAATGTCCCTTACATTGGTGGTCAGTGGGAAGAATGTCCCTTACATTGGGGGTCAGTGGGAAGAATGTCCCTTACATTGGGGGTCAGTGGGAAGAATGTCCCTTACATTGGGGGTCAGTGGGAAGAATGTCCCTTACATTGAGGGTCAGTGGGAAGAATGTCCCTTACATTGGGGGTCAGTGGGAAGAATGTCCCTTACATTGGGGGTCAGTGGGAAGAATGTCCCTTACATTGGGGGTCAGTGGGAAGAATGTCCCTTACATAGGTGGTCACAATGACTTCCTTACGAACAGTTAAAAAAAAAATCATTGGAATAATTCTAATGACTGTCAAGTAGCCTTGGTCACCAAAAGTACAAGCACCATCAGATGGGAGGTCTGTCTGCCACAGTGCAAGTAACTGATCCCCTAACAAAGCCTGGAGGAACCCCCGGGTTCCACCGATCCCTGGATGGGAATGTCTGGGACAAAGATCAGACAAGGCAAGCCGTGGCACAACACTTCGCTATGCCAGTGGAGACTTAATTAAAGTGAAACTTTGTTAAATTGTACCAATATACGGCCAGAAGTACACCCTTCTAATGACTGAGTTTAGGTGTTTCCAATGAAGAGTACTGTTAGTGCCACACTGTAGACCATTGTGCTCTCCCAACCTTGTGGTAACAGTTTGGTGAAGGCCTTTTTGTGCTCCACCACGACTGGGCCCCTGTGTACAAAGCCAGCTCCATAAAGACATGCTTTCACCAGTTTTAGTGTGAAGCAACTCGAGTGTCCTGCACCTCAACTCTACTAAACTCCTTTGGACCTCAACCCCACTGAACTCCTTAGGGATGAATTGGAACATTGTGAACCAGATCTTCTCATCCAACATCAGTACCTGACCTCACAAATGGGAACAAATTCCTACAGAGATCCTCCAAAATCTTGTCGAAAGGCTTTCAGAAGGCCCTGTGTACAAAGCCAGTTCCAAAAAGACATGGCGTGTGACCAGTTTGGTGTGGAGGAACTTGAGTGTCCTGCACAGAGCCTTGACCCTCAACCCTACTGAACACCTTTGAGATTAATTGGAACGTTGATTGTGAGCCAGGTCTTCTCATCCATTATCAGTACCTGACCTCACAAATGGGCACAAAGGAGGGGCAGATGCCTATTAATGGCTATGGCTTTGTAATGGGGGAGGGGGGGGAAGGGGCAACTCTCTATTAACGGCCATGGTTTTGGAATAGGATGTCTAACCTTGTGGGAGCAGCTTGGTGAAGATCGCTTTCGGCTCCACCATGACTTGGCCCGTGTACAAAGCCAGCTCCAAAAAGACATGGCGTGTGACCAGTTTGGTGAGGAGGTACTTGAGTGTCCTGCAAAGAGCCTTGACCCTCAACCCTACTGAACACCTTGGAATGTTGATTGTGAGCCAGGTCTTCTCATCCATTACCAGTACCTGACCTCACAAATGGGCACAAGAGGGGCAGATGCCTGTTAAAGGCTATGGCTTTTGAATGGGGGGGGGGGGTCAACTCCATATTAAATGGCTATGGCATTGTAATGGGGGGGGGGAAAGGGGCAACTCTTTATTATTGGCCATGGTTTTGGAATAGGAGGTCTAACCTCGTGGGAGCAGTTTGGTGAAGACCGTTTTCTGCTCCACCACAACTGGGCCCCTGTGTACAAAGCCAGCTCCATAAAGACATGCTTTCACCAGTTTTGGTGTGAAGCAACTCAAGTGTCCTGCACCTCAACTCTACTAAACTCTTTTGGAGCTCAACCCCACTGAACTCCATGGGAATGAATTGGAACATTGTGAACCAGATCTTCTCATCCAACATCAGTACCTGACCTCACAAAATGGGAACAAATTCCCACAGAGATCCTCCAAAATCTTGTAGAAAGGCTTCCAGAAGGCCCTGTGTACAAAGCCGGCTCCAAAAAGACATGGCGTGTGTGACCAGTTTGGTGTGGAGGAACTCGAGTGTCCTGCACAGAGCCTTGACCCTCAACCCTACTGAATTCCTTGGAATGTTGATTGTGAGCCAGGTCTTCTCATCCATTATCAGTACCTGACCTCACAAATGGGCACAAAGGAGGGGCAGATGCCTATTAATGGCTATGGCTTTTGAATGGGGGTCAACTCCATATTAAATGGCTATTGCTTTGTAATGGGGGGGGGGGGGAGGGTAACTCTCTATTAACGGCCATGGTTTTTGAATAGGAGGTCTAACCTTGTGGGAGCAGTTTGGTGAAGACCGTTTTCTGCTCCACCATGACTGGGCCCCTGTGTACAAAGCCAGCTCCATAAAGACATGGTGGTGACCAGTTTGTTAGTTAAACTTGGATGTCCAGCAAATCTATATAAGACTTTTGGTTGAAGCAATTGGAGGTTCTGGCAGGAAGGCAAACTGGCCAAATCTGGCCATTTACGTTTGCCTATTCGGTCGACTGTGAACAGTATGAGTTCAGCCCAAACCCAAAGCTAATCCCTTATAAGAACTTATCCTCTTATTTCTGGGATGTGTTGTCGAATGAGACATGTGAACGTCTTCTGTTCACTGTGGTAGGTACGGATTCCGTTGGAGGCCCTTTTGATTCCTTCCCACCAGAGCCAGGAAAACGCATGGAATCCATGGGTCTACCAACCTGGATTCTCTGGCGTGTCCATTCTCTATCCCTTCCTCCAGGTGCTCCAGATCCCATAGTTCACATGAGGGGGGTGCAATGCACATGCATGCCCATTTGCTTTCTTTTTCTAGCAGCTGGGGGAGGGTGGGCACGTGAACGTCTTCTGTTCACTGTGGTAGGTACGGATTCCGTTGGAGGCCCTTTTGATTCCTTCCCACCAGGGCCAGGAAACGCATGGAATCCATGGGTCTACCAACCTGGATTCTCTGGCGTGTCCATTCTCTATCCCTTCCCCCAGGTGCTCCAGATCCCATAGTTCACATGAGGGGGTGCAATGCACATGCATGCCCATTTGCTTTCTTTTCTAGCAGCTGGGGGAGGGTGGGCATGTGAATGTCTTCTGTTCACTGTGGTAGGTACGGATTCCGTTGGAGGCCCTTTTTGATTCCTTTAGTCCCTTCCCACCAGGGCCAGGAAACGCTTGTCCAGCAACCAGGGTTGATGCAGTACTGCACCCCTCCCTCCCTACTAAGACTTGAAATCCATCTAGCAGCTGGGGGAGGGTGGGCACGTGAATGTCTTCTGTTCACTGTGGTAGGTACTTATTCCGTTGGAGGCCCTTTTTGATTTCTTTAGTCCCTTCCCACCAGTTCCAGGAAATGCTTGTCCAGCAACCAGGGTTGATGCAGTACTGCACCCCTACCTACCAAGACTTGGAATCCATGGGTGTACCAACCTGGATTCTCTGGCGCGTCCATGCTCTATCCCTTCCCCCAGGTGCTCCAGATCCCATAGTTCACATGAGGGGGTGCAATGCACATGCATGCCCATTTGCTTTCTTTTCTAGCAGCTGGGGGAGGGTGGGCATGTGAATGTCTTCTGTTCACTGTGGTAGGTACGGATTCCGTTGGAGGCCCTTTTTGATTCCTTTAGTCCCTTCCCACCAGTGTCCGGAAACGCTTGTCCAGCAACCAGGGTTGATGCAGTACTGCACCCCTCCCTCCCTACTAAGACTTGAAATCCATCTAGCAGCTGGGGGAGGGTGGGCACGTGAATGTCTTCTGTTCACTGTGGTAGGTACTTATTCCGTTGGAGGCCCTTTTTGATTCCTTTAGTCCCTTCCCACCAGGGCCAGGAAACGCTTGTCCAAGGTGGTGTATTTAGGTTTCATGCTGCCCTAGGCAACACTAAAATCGGCACCCCCCACAGAGAGAACCTGACACCGACCAACACCCCCCTCCCCCATGAAGAGAGCATGATGTTGACCAACAACACCCCAGCACCACCCCCCACACCCAAGACAGCCCTCCACTACCACCACCCCCCATACACTGACAACTCCCCACCATCCCCATGAGAGAGAAGACACCTTCACAGCTCCAGATCCCACACAGTCCCCATGCTGTGTGTGTCCTGTCTTCCAACCCTTCTTTCAGGGGGACAGCACTGCCCCCCTGACAAAATGCTGCCCTAGGCAAATGCCTTGTTTGCCTTATGGTAAATACGCCCCTGCTTGTCCAGCACCCAGGGTGATGCAGTACTGCACCCCTCCCTCCCTACTAAGACTTGAAATCCATGGGTGTACCAACCTGGATTCTCCGGCGTGTCCATTCTCTATCCCTTCCCCCAGGTGCTCCAGATCCCATAGTTCACGAGGGGGTGCAATGCACAGGCATGCCCATTTGCTTTCTTTCTAGCAGATGGGGGAGGGTGGGGGCAGCTGCGCATGCGCCGTGTGTTTTTCGTGACTACTGTGGGTGGTGGGGGGGGCTACAATGTGACAGTAGCCTTCTACAAGGCAGCAGGTCGCTAGTTCCCCACCAATAATCAAGAGGGTCAGCAGGGTGTTGTGCATGTGGCATGGTGCTTGCTATAAACCCCCTACGGGGGCTGCGCCCAGGGCGGCCGCCCTTCTAGCCCCCCCTCTCTGCAATGAAAACTCAATTTATATGAGAAGCCAAAATAGAACCAACACCTATAAATACGCGTGGAACCTCAAACTGGCGACAAAGTAACACTTCAAAAGGAGAAAATACTAAACAATGTTAAACATCCAATCAAAGTGGACGCAGGACGCAGCCGCCTCCCACCTTCATACGAACAGGTCACTAACCGAAAATCCCCCCCCCCTTCCCGGGGGACACATCAAAGAGCGAAGTCGAAGGATAGAGAACTATTTTTTATTTACGGGTCACTGGACGGTTATGGAGGGCAAAGTGCAATGGCCGTCTCCAGCAAGTGGAAGACGCAACGCCGCCTGCCTGGCTCTGCGGCCCCGAGATCCATTTTCCATTGACACTGATGAGAGGAGGCCGATAATTGGCCCATCTGTATTAATATCCCTCCAGCGGGTAATACGATTTCCATATTAGCGCGCGTCTGTTCCCCGCAGGTCGCTGATATCATCGGGAAAGAGAGATTAATCTCGTCAGAGCTCGTCTGTAACGTTCATTGGATCCAACTCATCAATGACACGGCCCGTCCCTGGAGAGT